AGAAAGGAACAAAGTTTATACCCACAGAGGAGATGATAAAGCACAAGCATTTCACAGATGAGGCTGTTGGCTCCCAAAGAGGTATAATATGGTAGTTGTTTCCTCAGATGAAGCCAGAATGCAAAGGCATTAGGGAAACCACCTCTCTGTGACTGATCAGACCTCAGGTTTCAAGATTCATCATTCTTTTACCAAATACCTCTAAAATCAAATGGCAAAATCTTTTTTTTTCCTTCCATTTGCTTTTATTACTATCAAGTGAGAGGCACTCTGTGGTGGATCCCTTCACATAAATGGGTAGGTAGGGTTGGTAGGTAGGTAGGGTAGATGTTTGTTAACACTGGCCAAAATTTTACTGGATCTTCTAGTTATCTTCTCTGTTAAAATGAAGTTATGAACTGAAAGTTTGGAAGTGGGTATTTTAAAGCAGCCAGCAAGCTACACTACCTTAATACCCCAGTCCTCACTGAAGGGTGATGAAATCCTGTACTTGCGTGAGCCTTATCACCTCAGTAGGTGAGCATCTTGCAAATGTCTCTGTTTATCCCGTGACCATTTGGGAACTGAGCGCTACCATGTGTTGGTTCTCCTGCTCAGGCACGGGTTTCACTCCACATCCTTGTGCATCAACACTGTTGAAAAATGGAGAGACTTCCCTAATTACCAAAGAAATGTTAACAATGCTATCTTAGGCTTCTTTTGTGTTGTCCACCTTAATGTTCTAATCTCTTTCATGCTTGAAAAACTTCAGGAAAGTGGCATCAAGGTGTAAACTGTGAATCCTTCAATGACCACTGTCACCATCCTCTCAACCATGGGTTTGACTACTTTTATGGTATGCCTTTCACGCTTGTCAACAACTGCCAAGAAAACAAACCTCCAGACCTGGATGTAGCCCTCCAAGCTAAGCTTTGGCTTTACAGTCAGATGATTGCCCTCGCTGTGCTCACCCTCAGTGCTGGCAAAGTGGCTGGTTTGGTTTCCATCCGCTGGAAGATAATTGGCTGGTTTACTTTGCTGGGCGGCCTTTTCTTCGTCTCTTGGTACTCCAGTTACGGCTTCGTGCGGTACTGGAACTGCATCCTGATGAGGAACCACGATGTCACTGAGCAGCCCATGAGGCTAGAGAGGACTGCTTCTCTCATGCTGAAGGAGGCAGTGTCTTTTATCAAAAGGTAAATGATTGTCTGTAATTTCCTTTAAAAGGGCCAGCATCTTCTCGGCACTTAGACTAGGATATTTTTCCCTAGTAACTATAACTGTGCCATGAGAACTGCTTTGAAATTCATATCCAAGTTCTCTATTTAGAAACCCAGTGCACTTTAAATTTTAATTGCAACTGTCTCACATTGGAAGCTGCACTAAATGAGATGGATTTTAAGCAAATGATAGATGACCATTTTGCTATGCCCTACAATGTGTAATTACTGTATTTGCTCCAAGATTAACCAGCCCATCTTAACGCTTCACTCTACAGGCCTCACTTGTACTTTTTTTAATAATGCCTAGAAAGCATCTAGATGAAATGTGTATGAATCACGAAATTATTTCATGTGACAATGTCATAACAATTTAAATCTATTTTTATAGAACATACTGTAAGGAAGTCAAGTAAGATCATTCATTTTTCTAGATTCACGTTCTGACTGTACAGCCTTCTGTAATGCTTCCATACATCAGGTGTCTTTCTGTAAAACAAGTAGCTATTCGTCTTTTAAAGCTTGTGAAAACAAATATTCTGAACATTGTAGGTGGCCATCTTCGAAAAGCCACATGAATCTTAAAGTAAGTGTGAGACTGCATCCAGTTGCATTTAATTAAAAAGGCATCAGAGTCAGGCATCTGGTTCATTTAAGCACTGTGCAACTGCTATGCCTATTTACACCGGAATTTGAAAATAATCTGACTGAAAAGGATCTTTTTTGCCCAAAGAAGAAAACTGTCAACTGTGGTCAATGGGGATGTGGGTAGATGTGGGTACAATCTAGACCAAATGTGTGTGTCTGTGCATGGATGAAATTGGAACCTTTCAACATAATCCAAACACACAACAAAAATTATTTTTATTTTTGGTTTGTTTTTAAGAAACAGGCACAGACCATTCCTCCTCTTTGTTTCCTTTTTACATGTTCACACCCCCCTGTTTACCACGGCAAAATTTCTTGGGAAGAGCCATCATGGTTTATATGGAGACAATGTAGAAGAAATGGACTGGATGGTGGGTAAGTATTCTTCATGAAGGATTTGTTCCAGAGACATACGCCTTTGTATTTTAAAGCAGGATTACTAAGAAGGCTAAAATACATAGAGAAATTGGAGCTCATAGAAACTTCTTATAGGGCATTGCAAAAGATTATTATTGAGACATTTTAGGTGTGGCTTGGTCTTTCTAACTGGTTAATAGGAACCTTGCTGTCTGTCTTCTTAAATTTAAGGCAAAATTCTGGATTCACTTGACGAAGGAGGTTTGAAAAACCATACATTTGTATACTTTGCCTCTGATCATGGAGGACACTTGGAGGCTCAGGATGGGTCTGCTCAGCTAGGTGGCTGGAATGGTATTTATAAAGGTAGGAAAAACACTGTGACTTTACGTGAATGTTACAATCAAAAACAAAATTAATTTGCCTGGCTGAATTTGCTATTGAGGCTGGAGTGAGTTGTTTTTCAGCTTGAAATATAGGTGACATACAGAGGTGCTTTGATCTTAAAGTCACCTTTTCTTTCAGTAAAGTGCAAGCATTATTACATAGCCTCTTGACAAAGCTGTTGTCTAGCTTGATACCCATAAATTATTTTGTGTCAACTAAAAGGCACTGGAAAAAAAAAATGTGAAGTTCCCTATATTGAACTCTCTCTCTTAAGCTTTTCCCCACTCTCTTCACAATAGGACTGTTCCCTGATTTTCTTGTTTCTTTTTCTCATTATGTTCCAGAAATCTCAGCTATCAATACAGAACAGAGTAAGAGCACATTGTGTCATGAATTGTGGCAACAATTTATTTCCTGTATGCTTCTACATTCCACCCAAAATCAGTGATTAGCATAAAATCCAAATGGCCTTAGTGGTCTAAGAGGTTCTCAGTCTTTACCTCCTGCCTGTCCTTTTCTGCTGTAAATCATTCTTCAACCTGCTGAGCAGTGCAGTGGCTTTGTTTTGGCCAAAAAGAATAGGCATTCATGGCATTTTCTCCCACTTACCCCAACAGCCCTGTGTCATCAGAAAACCTCATCCTGTGACCTGTCATGAACATGTACCAGTATGTGCCAGGGCTTGGTCTCTGTTACCACCAACAAACCATCAACCTCTTGCCCAAAGTTTTGATGTTTTTATTTTCTTCGATTTCAAAACCTTCCTGAGCTGCTTCACAAGGCAGAGCAGAGGTCAAAGATGTGGAATTTTGGCTCCTATGAGGTGGATGCTCTGCTGCTGAGCAATGGAGGCTGCTGGCCTTTATGAAAGGGAAGGGCTTCCAGTTAGTCTGTTCATCCTCCATCTCCCTGGTTTTATTTGGGAAAGTGCTTCTCTTTATGGATGATAAGACTGGTTCATAAGCCTGATGGGATCTAACAAAGGCAGTGTTTTTTCCATACTGAATGGATGAATTAAAACCGGTTTCTGCTCTGAGAGCTAGGTAAACATTGTCTTCCAACATCAAGCATCAGTTGGGTTTTTTTTTTCTGTTAGTAGCAAGTTGAGAAAGGGTGTTTTCCTGCTATATGAAGTAAAGCATATATGATATGATCTCATAGGTTCAAATGTTTTGCTTCTGAAATAGGAGATGTTGTGTTAAGCATTGGAAGAGTCAGGTCCAAATCTTGAGTTCAAAAAAGGAAGAGGTGCATAAGGCATATTAAGAAATATAAGTTCTAAGGACACACATTTCGGAGGGAAGTCATAGCTAGAAAGAGAAGGTTTGTTCTTTCAGCTAGTTATTAGATTAGGATACTAATTAGCAAGTCTTGTGTAGGTTTAAAGAGACTATCAAGTATTTCTTCAGTGTTACAAGTTCCTCAGGTTTCCTGTTCCACTTCTTTTCTTCTGCTGGGAAGTTCTTCAGTAACACAGGTGAATGCAGTCAGCCCATGAAATAGGAGGCAGCAGAAGGTGGAAGCTGTTTTACTGATGCTGAACATAGGCTTTTCAAAGGTAGATACACAATTTCTACCCTTTCACCTGTAGTCAAAGTTGAGATAGAATTGTGTGTGTCCCCCACACCCCCCCGTCCCCATCTTCCTAAGTTTGGATGAGTTGCGTCACATCTTGAGGCATTCTGAAGTATGTGAAGTCCACTACAGATGAAGAGCTGAATCTGTTGGATAAGCATTAAATTACTGCATTTTCTTTCTGTACATTCAAATGCAGCAAGGTAACGCAGATGTTTCTGTGGTTTTAAGAGGTTTGTGTTCGCCTCTGAACTGCCCTACGTTGCTTCATTTCACTGCAGGTGGAAAAGGCATGGGAGGCTGGGAAGGAGGGATCCGTGTGCCAGGAGTATTTAGGTGGCCAGGAGTGTTACCTGCAGGCACAGTTATTGATGAACCTACAAGTCTTATGGATATTTATCCCACAGTTGTTCATCTGGCTGGAGGAATATTGCCACAGGACAGGTATGGAGATATTTTCAACAGGAGAGATTGGTAGGAGAACTAACTACTAAAAATTTACTGTGTTTCTTATCCTTGGAGATCTTACAAATATTCCTTAGTCTCAAGCCTAGTCTGAGATTTTAAACTAGTGAGCAAACTCTCCCAGATATGCCCACAGGTGTGTGTGTGTGTGTGGCCAGAGCAGTTGTTCCTGGCAAAGACTGTGTGCTAGTTTCAAACCCAGGTTCTGCCTCATTTGAGAAAGAATTGATGGCCAGGGTTGTTTTGGTGCCATGTGACTTGACTTATGGACACTTATAAATACCTCCTGAGGTCATTAAACCCATCCTTGCTCCACAGATTTCTTGAAGCTCTGATGAAAATTGCTAAAAGTAAGCAATTATGAGATCAGTATTGATTTCCTGAATTAATTACTTTTTTTCACCAGGCCAAGCTCTAAATATTGTTTAGGTATTGCTAAATTAAATGAGCTGATGCATCTATTAAAGGAAAAAAAATATCTAGGGATTTAAATATTTTCTAGGCAGTCTGCTGGCTGCTCTAAATCTATGATCAAATTATTCTGTAAGCTGTCTCAAGCAGTCCTGCAGCCAGTGCAAAGGCAGGGATAAGTATGCAGTTCACTGTCAGGTTTGCCCCTGCCTGACTACACTTCTCTCCGTTACGTTAGGGTGATCGATGGACGAAACTTGGTGCCTCTACTGCAAGGGAGAGCTCAAAAGTCAGAGCACGAGTTCCTGTTTCATTATTGTGGGGCCTACTTGCATGCAGCACGGTGGCACCAAAAGGACAGTAAGTATAAATGTTTGCTCCATGGTAACTTCAAAACATGAGTTTTCTTCTCTTAGTCATTTTGCTAACTGACACATTTATGGCATGATGGGTGTTTATCAGTACTGATCTGAGATTCTAGAAATTGTTGTGCATGACAGACCCATGACTCTGCCTTGCTGGACGTGTCTTACAGCAGTGAAATATTTGTAAGTAACAAACCTGAAGGAGGTGGGGTGGGAAGACAGGCTGTCTGCTGCCACACTGCAAATTTAATGTGGTTTCTTTATATTTCTAGTGTTTTCCGTCTTCAAAGTCAGTACTCTAGACAGAATCTAATTTGTAGCGATGTGGGTGCCAGGGTGTGTGTGAAGAGGTCTCCTTAGTAAATAGCTGTACTCTATTGCTTGAAGGCACGTTCAGTTTTTGTCTTTTGTCTTGAAGTTGCGCCATAAGATTTCTTTCCTGCCAGGTGGAGCCATCTGGAAGGCTCATTACGTGACCCCTGTCTTTCATCCACCTGGGGCTGGGGCTTGCTATGGAAAAGGCATTTGCCCGTGTTTTGGGGAAGGTGTGACCCACCATGACCCTCCGCTGCTGTTCGACCTCTCGCGAGACCCTTCTGAAGCCCAGCCTGTGCGGGCTGAGACGGAGCCCCTCTTTGGCACTGTGGTAGGGAAGATTGGCAGAGCCGTGGAGGAGCACCGCAGGACACTGACCCCAGTCCCAGAGCAGCTCTCCTGGCACAACGCGGTGTGGAAGCCGTGGCTGCAGCCCTGCTGTGGGACGTTCCCATTCTGTTGGTGTGACAAGGAAGGTGACGGCACACAGAGTTTGTGAGATGGATGTCTGCTCGCATGTCCTGTGGCACTGAGTCCTCTGCTGACAAAGCTTTTGGAAAATAACTGTCCTTTCTGGGAAGCAAGGTGGATGAAAATAAAAAAATAAAGTTGATCAGAGGTTTTTCCCTTCATTCTTCCCCACTACCCAAAGGCCCAAGGAAGTCCTGTCTGGTGTAGTAAATGGCTTGAATGGAGACTGGTTTTGTAGACTTGTGTATATGACAGCTGCAGAGGTATATGCCTAAAATCTGCCCAATTTATGCCTGCTCAAGGAAGACAACTGGAGAGCTTTGTAGAGGGCCAGGTGTATGGTGCTGGGCAGGCAGCAGTAAGAAATACTGGACTTACACAGAAATCTTGGTGTTCACAGCTGTGGCCCCATAGTTCACCAGTCATGGCTGTACTTTATCCATATGCAGTCGTTTGTGTCATTATTGCTTCCTGAGTGAGGGATCTTGCTCAGCTTTAGAGATCTGCAGCTTTAGCTGGGCAATAGTAACGTATGTCACAAACAGTACAACGTACAGAATGTTCAAGTTCAGTTATAACTCTGGAACAGTTCCAAAAGAGAAGCATTTTGCTTTTCAGAAAGAGGTCTTGGTGCATACTAATCTTGCAAACAGCAATTTCATTGAATATAAAATGCTGGTGTTTTGTATTAATAGTTTTTACTATTTAGATATCAGTTCCAGAAAAATAAGGTTCATTTGAGAGTCATATTGGCATTAATACTAAAAAATATTTGGTAGCAGCATACATAGGTTTACCAACTACTTGTAAAACAGAGTCTTGCCAATACTAGTCAAAAAAAAAAAAGCCAAAACCACACACAAATAAAAAAGAATGCCCACCCAAAAGGAAAAACCACAAAGAAAGAATCCTGCAGTGGTGTGCCCCTTGCCAGGCTGAGAGACTTTACACTGAAGTTTGTGGTGAAATTGCTGAGATTTTAGAGGGTTGAATTTTATTAATTTCATTTCATTTTGTTAATGACTTTTTTTTTTTTTTTGCAAGAGTGATTGAAGCCAGAGTTTATTATAAGCATGCTCCTAGATCTCAATATACTGGAGGATTAGAGTAAATGGAAACATATTATTTTAGTTTAGGTTTTTTTTGTTATTGTCCCACCCCTAAGGAATATCCCTGCAAACGTTTTACTTGCTCAACCAGTTTAGTTGATAATGATTTTCTTTTTATCTCTTAGTCTTTTTCATGAAAAATCATAGAAACAATTTCACAGACTTTTATTTCTGTCACTTCAATATTCTTCACTACTCAGTGAACTATAAATTCACTCTGAAAACTTGTCAAAAGTAGAAGGGACTATATGAAAGCCAGTGTTTGCTTTTGGAACTCAGGCACGTGCAAAAAGCCAAATAGACAGTGGCAGTATGAAGCACACAATTACTCAGAAGTTAAGTTTTGCTGTCAAAGAATTTGCCAGTAGACACCAGTGAGGAAACAGCAACTTCCTGTGCTTAAGCACAGTGAAAAAGCAGTTAGTGTAAGCAGAGAAAATCCTGCAGGGCTCAAAATGCAGAGATAAAAATCTTCTCCTTTCCCCTTCATTGTTACAAAGGTCTTCTATCCACAACAACAACAACAAAAGGTTTGAAGCTTGGTTCTGTTGTAGGTAATAAGTAATCAAAGCTGTTACCTCTGTACTGGGTCATGAACATAGTGGTGAGGAGCAGGATGCTTCCTCTCCTTGCAGATAAGGTTTTGTTATCAGGGAACAATTCAAAGGTGAGGGGCTTGGGATTTCTTGTTGGTTTGTTTGGTTTCAGTTGGTTGGTTTTCTTAAGGCACACCAGCAGCAGCATGGGCACATCTTCAGTAGTGATCACGTGGTGAGAAAGATGTTAGCAGTCTAGAAAGGCTGACAGAAAAGTTTAGCCATAAATTGGACCAAAGACAGATAGAAATTAATACTTACATTATTGGTAACTTTTAAAGATCCATCTTTCCAAAGGTGTGATGTCATTTCTGAGAAATAAAATTTTTTCAAGACAAATCTTTGCACCAGAAGCATCACAAGCTGTTAAATAATCACATAAGTAGTATAGTCAAATAGGTATGAGTAAAAGTAACCCGCTTTGAAAACTTGTGTCTTATAAAAATAATGGAGTCATAAGTGCAAGGTCAATAAATTAAAAACAGCTCCCAAGCGTGATTAACCCTGCCATGCATGATACAAATCTGATAGTTTAAGGTGCTTCATCTTTCCACCTCACTGACTCCCACTGTTTTCTCTAGAACACGTGGTTTTAAATTCAGCCTTGACAGTATTCATCTAACTCAGGGAGAACTGAAATGTCAGCAAACAGGTAGCTGAGAGCTCCTCTAAGTAATTACTTTAGACCTTTTGAAGGGTTAAGTGTTTTATAGTTAAAAAGTGTTTTATAGTTAGAAAGAAGGGGGCTGAGGGGAGGCACGTTGGAATATTAATCTTTCAGTTCTTGGGGCTGGGGAAAGAATGTGTGATTAATATTTTCCACACAGGGAGGTTTGCCTTTCCTGAAAATGCAGTGAAGAAGAAGAGATAACGTGACAGAAGAAAAGGTGGAGGACAAGCTGCTCCTATTACCCTGCCTGGAAGGCTGGAAAAGTAGAGTGGGGAAAAAACAAAACCTAGGGCACTGAGTGCTATGTTATTACTTATAGCATCTTTTTTGAGGCAGTGAATATGGCAGTGACAGGCTTTATACAAATCTGCACAAAATTAACTGGACAGGGCACCTAGCAAAGGCTGTAGCCACGTTGTGCCAGTGTTTCAAGAAGAAGGACTTTGTGCTCTGTCTGGAATTCACATAAAACCCACACGGGGTTCCAGTTTGTTGGCAGTTGCTGGCGGGGATCCCAGGAGGTTTCTGTGCTGGAGACTGGGGGAAGGGAAAGGAAGAGGCAAAGGAGCAAGTCCCAGCCCACTTCCTCCCACTCACGGCCTGGAGGACAGGACTGCTCGGCACGCCGAGGGGCAAGAGGAATTTCAGAGCAAGAGGAGTATTTGAGACAAGGGTTTGCTTTCCACGTTGTTAAAAGGGGTTGGCCTTTTTTATTAATCTGGCTCATTTATTGTGGTGTACTGGCTGACAGGCAGAATTACTATCTGATAATTTTCTTATGTTCCTGTGAGTAACTGCTGATTTCTGGAGGCTGGGGTTAAATTTATTGATTAAGCACTTGTTTTTCTTTTTTGATTTAACAGCTAAGGAAACTGGACAAGCCCTAGGGCCCAGTAATGGGTTCATGGCACTCCCAGTGATGTCAGTGAGCTCTGCTTTCAGAAGGAATCAGCCCCTAACAGCAAAATGTAAACATGCATATTTAAATTGTTTTGAGAGTTTGGGGGCTTTTGTGAAGATTGATATTTCTTTTCACCCTTTAATAAGGTTAGTATTCCTAAAACTGCCAGAAGTAAACCAGGAAGGACTCATTTTAATCATGCTACTGCCAGTGGAATTAAGACCCAAATATCTCATAATGCTGCCGCTGGCACTCTCTGGTTCAAAACTGACAGCTTTCCTAGGGGGCTGTGTCTAAATACCAGTTTCCTGTCTCCATACCCATGTGCCTGCTGTCACCAGCTGGCTGTGCCACACGAACCTGTGGGGAGGGAAGGGAGGGCAGCAGAGCTGTTGTGCCTACTTGGACAGCTTGTCAACACCCACGGGAAGCAAAGGTGTTTCTTAGATGTCTAGGGCTGTCGGATTCCTTTGCCTCCACTACAGCTCCCTAGGGCCGTGATGGTCCTCAAACCACTTGGCATAGGCTGAGAACATTTTCACTGCAATAATTTTGACTAAATCATGTAGCACAAGCCCTTTACATGCAACACTGCCTACCAGTTGCTGGGAAGGGAGAGCTCTGCCTCCATTGTTGAAGCACTGTAAAGATGTCCCCAGTATAGGTAAGGACCAGAGCCAGTTCTTCCTTCTCATGGGCTAATGCCTTCATGCACTTGCTGGATTGTCACCTTGGCTCTGTGCTGTGGGGCCATAGTTCCTTGGGGCTTTGGGGGAGCTGCTGCCAGGCTGTGTTTCTGAGGCATCACTAGTATACAAAGATTTGAGAGCCTAGTAGTGAGTCCTTTGCTTCATATCAGCACAGGCTGCTTTCCAAAACATGGTCTAAGCCAGAGCCAAACAAGCACCTGGAAGTTACTTGGAAAAATCATCCATGGACCCCCAGTTCTGACTGTCTTTTATACTTTTTTCCTGGTCAGATTAACACCATTTGCAATTTTCTTCTATCCTAGGGCTCATCTGTAAAAATGCATAGGGCAGGATTATATTCTGCTCTGGCCAGTTTAGTAATCTTCAGACATTCAAGATAACTGTAATACTCTCATGTATAAAAAAGGCAGAAAAAAAATTGTCTCAGAAAATGCAGTATTTCCTACCAAAGAACATGCTGGGTTTGGAGGAAAAGCGTGGAAGACTTTCATTAGGGAAGATGGAACTTTCAGTTCTCTGTGTTTAGAAGTGACTTTACATTTACAAACATGCTTTTAGTTGTTATAGAAAGTAAATATTCTTATTAGCTTCAATCTGTTCCTTAACAGAGCCAACATCTTTGTACTGGTTTGAAAGGGAAAGAAATGTGGAAAAGTAGGAATTCTGCATGGGTGGGATATTTCAGATTTCTCTCTCTTTTCACAGTGAATGAATGAATGTCAATTCTAGTTTACCTCAGCGTGTGCCAGTCCATGCTGGGGCCTGTTTGCCATGTGCTTCTGCACTACTGTCTGCACAATTCCAGTGCAACACCTTCTGCAGATCCCTTGGCCTGGGACCATCCACAAGGAGGAGGAGTGCATTTCCCAAGCCATTCTTTGTCTAAAGCAGCTAGGTGTGCTTTGTATTTCAGCAAGCATAGGAAATTGATTCCACTCATAAAATTTGCCTTGCTAGACAAAAACAAATATTTAGAAACTGAAATGTCATCTTTAGGTTTTTAAAGTACGGGTTGAGTTTATAGGGCTGGCTGGTAGAAAAA